CCACGTATTTTACATACTTATTCAAGAAGGAGAACGCGGAGAAAGATAGAAGACAATAATCTATATCTTCTCAAATTCCTGGAGATTTCACCCATGGAAGATTGACAAGTTTCTTAATGTTATTTTATTTGTTGGCAGTTTCTTAAAGTTGCTACAAGTTATATGTTTTTATATTAAATGGTTATGGGTTAGTTATTTTTAGCTATTATATATGAGTAAATTTAATAAATAACATATTTAAGAGTTGTTATTACTAGTACTAACATGACATTCTAATTTTCAATACATAGCATGTAACAAATAATTTTTTTTAAAAAACGAATTTAAAATAAAAATAATAAAAACAGAAAAAAAAAAAAAAAAAGAACCATAAATATAGTAATTTATAATTGACAAGATAAATAATCCCTTAATTTTCTGTCAATTTGTTGATTCTTATTTTGATTATTTCTTTCTTCCTTCTTATTCTCAATCTTGGTGACTATTCAGATCAGTGTATTAAAAGGTAGGGGCGTGAGGCAAGGCGTTTTATACTGTACATGGCGAGGCGTAAGTCCCGAAACATTGGGCGTAAGTCCCATGGATCTACAGGGCATAGTCTCATGTACATTCAATTTTATAATTTTATTACTAATAAAATAAGCAAAAGTAAACCTTTCAATGATTTATGATTTTTATTTGAGATAAGTATTAATAATCAATAATGAAGAAAAAAAGTATTATAATTACTATTTGAGAAATATCATTACACCAATAATAAAAATATGATGTAAAGCAAAAAAGGTTAAAAAATAAATTTAAAACACCCGGCGTACGATTTTACGCCCAGGACTTACATTTTTATGCTCGGGGCTTATGCCTCAAATTTTAGGACTTACGTCTTATGGATCTACGTCTTTAGTTTACGCCCCGGAGCGTTTATGGTACGCCCCGTCCCAAGACTTGCCCCAAAAACGATTTTGAAAACACTGATTCAGATTTTTTTGAAATTTTATCACCGTAAGTAATAGAGTTTATCCAATATTTGATTCAACAGGTAGTTTTTTTTTCTTTGATCGATCTTTTTTGGTTTTTTGATGTCTTTTTATTCTGATCTTGTTTTTTATTTTTTTTAATCTGATTTTTTATTTTTTTGAGAAACAAGAATCCTAATTTTTAAAAATTTGATTTCGTTTTTTTTTAATCTGGAACTTGATATTTAGAGGGAGAAAAAAAGGTTTTATTGAAATTTTGATCTCGTTTTTTGGTGTGCTTTTTCGTATCTAAAATACTTTTTTTTTAAGGTGAAATAAGCATTCTTAGTTTTAAAATTTGTTTTTCCTTATATAAATAACTAGTTTTTCGACACGTGCGTTGCACGTGATTACCAATTTAGAAAATATATGTTATAGTAAATAGTATTTTGCTTATTTAAGCGAAGATTTGAATAATAACCTTTGCACAAAATAATGTTGCAGATTTTTTTTGTGAATGTTCAATGTGGATCATCATATATATCTCTTATTCACGCGAACCTATGAAGATGGTTTATGAAATTTTTTATTAGTTAAATGCATATACTTATTTCAATTTGCTGAGGTTCAATCATGTAATTGGCCGTATCTCAATAATATTACCTTATAGACGATATTTGTTATGTATTTTTCTTGTCATCTAACCAAATGTGTTTGCACGTGTATTTCACGTTAAACTGTTCAGATATCAGATGAACATGTGAAGAGAACAACTACATTTTAGTTTTTAGAACTAACTTTTGTATAATAATTTTTATTTTATAAGTTATAACATAATAAATGACGTTCTTGTTGTTGACTCTCATATTTGACTTCTCAATTGACTGTGTAAATAAATCAAAGCTAGTTATCTGACTATCCATAGTTAACTGAGAAATGTTTCCTTTTTTTTTAACGGAAAAACTAAAAGTTGTAATTAAAGAATATATTCTATCTGTGAAATCATATATATAATCACATGTTTATCTTACACTCAACAAAGTTGTAGTTCATATACTTGTAAACAATTTTTAATTTATTCAATAAAGCATGATTCGTCCAAAGAAAAATAACAACACTATGTTATCACATATATAGGGGCGATATAATAATATGAAAAATTATTGGTCAAAAGTTAAGATAAGAAAAGATGAAAGATAGAAATAATTAATATAATAACTATGAGAATTCATAATCTTATAACTAAAGAATGTTAAAGAGTTTGAATAACTTTTGCAATAATTAGTAATAACTAAGAATTAGTGTGCAATAGTTGTATTTCTAATAAATTTTATACTAACATAAATAAATAGGACTTTTAATTAATATTGCTATATTTTTATATAGTTATTAGATTTTAATTTAGTGTAGGGACAAAATGAAAATGTTGATTCCATACTATTGAAAATAAAATTTATTTTGTAAATGATAATTTTTAAATGATTCATATATATTCAATATTTTCACATTTGTTGTTAGTTTCTTTTATTTTTTTAAAAAGAACTCGGAACTATTTAAAATAATATATTTTGAAATTAAAAGATCTTGTTAACTTGATAATACATTTGTGAAATATATAATACTTTAATTTAAATACAAATACCTACCCAAATATATATATATATATATATATATATGAACTTTTCTTCGTCTAAAATATTGTAATATTAAGAAAAGTAAATAAGTAAACCAAAAGGGCAATGTTTATATAGTAATAACTATTTTTGAAGCAAACTTCCTAACATTTTAAATCACATAAGTAACATTGATAAATAAAGTCATTCTTTTGTATTGAGCATCAAAAAAAAAAATTGTGACAATTCTCTAACTCTTGAGAAGTTTAATAATTTTGGAAAAAGATGTTGAGAAGCATATAATTACATCACAAGAGAAAATGTTAAAAAAAAAAAAACAAATGAATTTAGACTACATCATGTTAACTTCATATATTGGAACATTACATACTAATGTATATATTATGCAAATTGATGGCCTTTCGATAGTCCCAATCAAGAAGTTCATCAGTCAACAACTCTGAGGGGAAAAAACAAGGCAGTTCACTCAAACATCAAAGATGACTATTAAAAGGGGAGCTAAAGACAACCGCATTTTGACAATAATAATGATGGTGTGTTCCTCACAAACTGTTAAAAAAGAAGAGAAAATGTGAAGGTACAAAATGCAACATAGAGACACAAGAGAAATATTGAGTGAAGAGAAAGGACAAATATGTTTTCTGTAATCCTCAAGATAAAATTTCTCCTATTTTTGCTTAACTCTTCTATTGTTGGTAGAACATTGAAATATATCATCAAAGGGGATTTAACACCACAACCATGAACTTAGCAAGTTACAAATGGACCACTATTAGCAACTGATTTAATTTTGTTATGATAAAATTATTGCAGAAAAGGCAGCACCAGGTTGTCATACAACTAATGGCACAAGTAATAAACTGATAAAAATGTACATTTTCTGTTTTCACCAAAAAGAAATCTTTCTTTCCACTCACAACTCGACCGTAATCAGCATATACTAAGAGCAAAGGCATGACTTATAACCTTATTCGAACTCACTCAATGACAATCAATCACACGAAATCTTTTAAAATGCAAGAAGAAGAAGAGTAGATTAAAAAAATTGTGGTTGAAAAAAATGAGAGTAAGTCCCTCTATTTATAGTCAACAAAGGGTGGTATAAACAAGTATTTTTTGTGTCTTACCGAAAAAATCATGACCTTTTGAGAAGTCATAACCCTTTGGAAAAGTCAAAACTTATTGAAAAAGTCACAATTCTTTGGAAAAGCCACAACTCATCGAAAAAAGTCACAACTTATCAGAAAAGTCACAACCTAAGTTAGAAATATTATAGTAATTTAACATTCAAGTTAGGAGTTCATACTTTTAAGGTAATATAGATAGATAGATAAATAGATTCAGTAATGTTTAGGTATGTTGTAATATTTTTCATATGCAAAAAAAAATAATCTAAGGATACAAGGTAATACTTACGTCTCTCACTGTATTTTCTATGCTTTTTATCCAATATAAAACCTCTGTTTTATTCTAAAGATACGAGGTAATACTTACGTCTCTCACTGTATTTTCTATGCCTTTTATCCAATATAAAACCTCTATTTTTATCCTATTGCTTCTAATAGACCCTCGATTAAGTGCAATCAAAGCAAAATTGAAAGCAAAATAACAAGTTTGACAAAGTAAATGAAACAAAGTGCATGAAAAGAGGAGACTAGTTCCTTACCTCTTCCACATAAAAGTATGACAACACTCTACTACCTCTTTTACCTTTAACCTTGATCTCCATACCTTTTCTAGGGTCATGTCCTCAATAATTGAAGATGTGACATGTTATATCTAATCATATCCGCTTAGTTGTTCTTAAGTCTACTTCTACCTCTCCTTAAGTGAACCTCTCACACCTCTTTTTTGGTGGATCCATACATCTCCTCTTCACATGTTCAACTCATTTTAATCTCATTTTTCTCATCTTGTTTGCCATGGAAGTCACTCTCACTTTATCTTATATAACTTTACTCATAATCCTATCTCTCATAATATTTTCATACATTCATTTGAGCAACATCATCTCTGCTACCTTATCTTTTGAACATGTGCATTTTAATCTGACCAGCACTTCGCTCCATACAACAATATGAATCTAGCCACCACTTCATAGTTATTACCTTTAAGCCTTTATAACACATTTTTATCACACAATACCCTAGGTATGAGCCTCCATTTCATTCACCCTCTAGTAATACAATGTGCAAGATCATCATCAATCTCCATGTCACTTTAAACTTAAGGGTAAGGGTGAAGGTTTGGGAGATATAGGGGTGGGGTGAATATGAAGCATGCACACTTGTGAAACTTATTTTATCTACTTCTACTAGGAAGTCATTTTCCTACTGAAAATGTTTTCCAAAACTATTACTAAGCGACTATGAAAAAATTGAAAAATATTTTCTCCAGACTAAACACACCCAAATGTCACCTAGAATGTTTTTAACATTACCATTCCTGAAGAGAGCATCCCAACGGTCAAACCTTTAAACTAGAATTGTTTCAGAGAGAAGGGAATAATTATTGGCAATGACTGTTTACACAATTGCACAAACACTAACATCGTCCAAGAACAGGGGCTATGAACAAGTTACACAATAATCTTAATTTCCACAATGAGAATGTTCTGCGATATAGTGGGAGAGAACATTCCGATCAGTACTTGAGACCTCCCTGTTGGTTGCTCTTCTGCACAAAATTAGCTATACAAAAATTGTTCTTCGGGTGAAGAGGACTGCCCTCCCAGAACAATTACAGGATTGGTGTCCAGGAATTAGTAACAATTTCACCAGAGATTTTCATTCCCCGCTTGTCAATGCAGAAGCAGGGATTCCATGCTTTTGAAACCATTCTGGCATATGAAATCTATCATACAGCACAGGCCGCACATCTTTTTGCTTGGAGAGATGCTTGAGAAGTGGAAGAATTACCTCCAAAAGCTGATACAGAATTAAAAAACCCGAGTTGAAGTCAACAGAGCATAGTAGCTAAATTTGAGGAATAGATTCCGTACATGGTTTTCTTATTTATTAAACCTGTATATCATGTGGTTGTCCAGCAGAAAATGGAATGCATGGAATTCCATTTAGAGGTTGTAATAAGAAACTGAATGGATTGTTATCAACAATGACCATTCGGCTTAAGTCCTTTGAAATGCATAATAAATCCTTCACATGTTCTCGGTACTCCCTGTGAGGTAAGGAAAATGTCAAATTCACAATAATAAGCTGAAAAGAACTTTTTAAATAATTGTTGCATCAACAATAAGCTGAGTTAACAAGGACACAGAAATCAACGCGATATGGATACCACAAATTTATGGACCTTACAAATGTCATAATATTTGATCTGAACCATTAGGTACAGGAAAATTCATTATCTAATATCAGTAATCAATTTCTAATGTCATGACAATCTTTCTTTATCTTGGGGACATCACATTCATCATTTTCCTGAGAGGGAGAAGCTTAAATTAGACATACTTGATGGGTAATCCTGTTATAAGTATCATTTAGGTAACTCCCTTTTATTCCCGACAAGTACTATCATTAAGAGAACATAAATTCCATAAAGAAATGAGGTCCTTTCACGAAACAATCCAACAGGAATGATGTATCATAGGAGTGATATTGATAAAAATTATTTAACGATAGATCCTTATCAAAACGCATAGAATGTACAAATGAGTTGATTAACAATCCACATACGAAGAAATGGCACAAAACAAAGAATCCACTCCTCTTTTCTATCTAACAACGATAGAAATTAAGCCGTCTAAGCATGTGACAAGCATTAAGCATCAAAGTATCTCATATCAGAGACATGTTTTCTGTCCAACATGTCTTAGGAAACCAGATATATCACAATTCCTAGTCTCGAGATTTAGAACATTCCGTAGATAGTCGCAAGCCAGTACTAAGGTTAGAGTATAATCTACAATGGGTTTCACCAGTTTTTGATACAGAAATATAAGTGGACCCAATAATAATCACTGAATCGGGAAACTGTCCAACATAAGAGATGAACTATAAGGCTTGAAACTTTTTAGAAACATTGACATTGATCCACCATGCTTTTCAACAAATTAAGGATTTAATTTGAAAATCATACACAGCCCAAACACTAATGGGTGACAATCTGAGCTGGAAGTAATGATCCTCCAGGTGGCTAACCTTTTCTCAATTTTCTCAACAATCCCATCCCATATCTCTAACTCCTTGTGGTGGTTACCCAGAGGCATCCCAAATATGTAGTTGGGAGCTTCTCAACTTTACAACTCAAAATATTAGTTAGGCCAAAGGACAGTGCACAATTTCTAGTGTGGGGTGGAGAACTTGCTTGGATGCCTTCTATATTATTTTATCAGGTAGTGAATAATTTCCCCTGGTTTTGTTTTCGGTTCTTTTCCAACTGAGTCCTTGAACTGTATTTTTTTTCTTTTAGTCATAGGTAGAGACTTTTCCCAATGATGGATGGATAACGACCGTCTTGAGGAAAATTAGTCATTAGATTTATTTTTTTACTCCCTCCGTTTCAAAAGGAATGGCCTCCTTTCCTTTTTAGTCTGTTTCAAAAAGAATGGCCCCTTTCCTTTTTTGGTAACATTTTACTTTCAACTTTCCACGTGGCATGTTTAAGACCACAAGATTAAAGGGCAATTTTGTACATTTGACATAACTTTAATTTAGGGCCACAAGATTCAAAAGTCTTCTTTATTTTCTTAAACTCCGTGCCAAGTCAAACTAGGCCACTCTTTGTGAAACGGAGGGAGTATTATTATTTTCTTTTTAGTAGTAGTAAAGGAGGGAAACGAAAAAACCCTTTTTGACTTGGTTGATGCTAATCATATTTAGGTCTAAGCTTGAGTAGTACTTTCATGTGAGTGCTTGAGTGTTTAATTTTTTTATTTTTTTTTGAGAAGGTAACGATTTGTATTATAAACCAGTACTTATGTAGTACTGAAAGCCCCTTTACAAAAAAGTATGAAAATCTAGGAACAAAAACAGCAAGCCTAGCATGATTCTAATACTTCTAGGATTGCCTCTGCACCAATAGGGGAACTCTTTGTACACAAAAAACATAATAACAGAATACAATCTGTTTTGATCATTTGTAGGGATTTGCTTCTGTCCTCAAAGCTTCTAGCATTCCTTTCTCTCCAAATGGTCCACCAGATGCATGCTGGAATGGTCCTCCAATAACTTCTATTCTTTGCCTCAATTCCTGCTTCCTCCCAACTTGAGCTTGAGTGTTTAATACAGTGTTGTGAAAGGCGATCACCAATGGCGAGAGGCGAGGCGAGGCAACCCTTAATCGCACTTTAGCATTGTGGCGAGGCGATCGTCAAAAGGCGACGCCATGGCGACAAAGGCAAGAAAGGGGTCACCTTTTGTATTTTCTTTAAAAAAAAGGCGACCAATTTAGGGTTTTAAATGTTAAAAGGTAATTTTAGGATTTTCGACTAGACTCCTCAGGTGACTAGCTAGACTTTTTTGGCGACTCCAAAATCCAACCAATACGTGTTTCTTCTTTTCTTCTTCAGATTTCTTCTTCCTCTGTTTCTATTTTCCTTCTTCTTCAGAGTCACTTCTACCTTTGTTTTTTTTTGTTCTGTTTTTTTCTCATTCAAGTTCTAAGTACGTATTATCTATTTTCAGCTTTTGAATTGAAATATTTTCTTATATGTTATTGCTATTGAGTTTTTGATTATTGTGAGAAGAGAAGAGTTTGAGAGAGAACTCAGCTTGATTATTCTCACAAGCTATTGGGGTTTAAATAGCTAAGTATGCATGTCCTAAAAGGAAAGGAAATCAATACCTAATCACTACAAATCAAAATCAAATCAAGCTAGAGTAAATCTAGGAGGAAATCAAGCTACCTACTATATTTACATATGCTATAGAAACACTAGAATATTCCTAGGATTCTAACATTCCCCCTCAAGCTGGTTCATACAAATTATATGTACCAAGCTTGTTACATATATAACTTGTTTTGGGACCCGGACTTGGTGAATATGTCTGCAAATTGATCACTTGACCGCACGAACCTGTGACTATGTCTCCTGAAAGTACCTTTTCTCTAACAAAATGACAATCAATCTCTTTTTGTTTGGTCCTCTCGTGAAATACTGGATTTGATGCAATGTGAAGTGCAGCTTGATTATCGTACACAAGTTCCATTCCTTTAGTATCTCCAAATTTCAACTCCTTCAGTAGTTGCTTGATCCATATGAGTTACATGTTGCCACTGCCATAGCCCGATATTCTGCTTCTGCACTAAATCTAGCAACCACATTTTGTTTCTTGCTTTTCCAATACACCAAATTTCCCCCAACTAGAACACAATATCCCGAAGTGGATCGTTCTGTCAGAGGGTGACCCTGCCCAATCTGCATCTGAATATCCAACATTTTTCTCATGTCCTCGGGCTTCATAAAGAAGTCCTTCCCTTGGAGCAGATTTTATGTATTGAAAAATGCAAATAACTACATTCCAATGACTATCACAAGGAGAGTTCAAGAACTAACTTACGACACTTACCGAGAAGGTAATATCAGGTCGAGTCACTATGAGATAATTCAACTTTCCTACCAACCTTCTATATATTCCTGGATCGCTAAGAGGTCCCCCCCCCCTTGACCTAGTAGGAGCTTAACATTTGAATCCATTAGAGAATCAATAGGCCTACAATCTATCATCCCTGTCTCTTCAAGAATATCAAGTGCATACTTCCTTTGTGAAATGGCAATTCCTGATTTGAATTGAGCAACCTCAATGCCCAAGAAGTACGTCAATCGGCAAAGATCCTTAGTCTGAACGTGCTAGAAACGGTGATGTTTCAATTTGGTAATTTCCTCATCATCATTGCCTGTGATAACTATGTCATCAACATATACTACCAAATACATGCACAAACCTGGAGCAGAGTGACAATAGAACACAAAAAGATCAACTTAACTTCGTACGTTCCAAACAACTGAATAACCATGCTAAACTTCTCAAACCATGCTCGAGGAGACTGCTTCAGGCCATAAAGTGCATCAATTTGTCCATCAGGCCCAAGTGAAAACCTTCACTGTATATATCCACCGACAACCAACTGTAGATTTATCTGGAGGTAGACGAACAAGCTCCCAAGTACTACTAGAGTGTAAGGCAGACATCTTCTCAATAGCTTCCGTTGCCCAAGTTGGTAATCTTGTTGCTTGAATCTCACAATCCACCACACTTGGCCCTTGGGTTATGGACTAAGGTGCTTTTGACCACATTTCTGGTAACAAATCTTTATATTGTCTAATATTACTTACTCTCAGTCCCTTCCCACTGTTACATTAGCTAATGGTTCTCAGACCATGGCAGCCGGAGTCGGTCAAGCCAATCCCTTACCTTTCTTGACTCTAAATAATGTTCATTTTGTCCCTGGTTGTCCCTTTAGCCTCTTGTCAATAAGTCATTTGGCTAAGGCTTTAAATTGTTTCATCTCATTTTATAGTGACTTCTTTGTCATACAGGACCTAGTACGGGAAGGATGATTGACGAAGGGCATGAGTCAAATGGACTTTATTATCTCAATTCTCACAAATCCACTTTAGTTTGTTCAATCTCAGACTCTCCAGATTTAATCCACAAACGATTGGGACACCCTAGTTTATCCAAACTTCAAAAGATGGTACCTAGCTTGTCCAAATTGTCTAAGTTAGATTGTGAGTCATGTCAATTGGGGAAGCACACCCAAGCTACTTTTTCACGTAATCCTAATAATAGTGCAGAGTCTCTTTTTCAGTTAGTTCATTCTGATATTTGGGGTCCTAGTAGAGTTAGTTCTACATTGGGATTTAAGTATTTTGTTACTTTCAATGATGATTACTCAAAATACTTAAAGCCCAATGTAGATCTGACTCTACAAGGACCCCAAATATCATAATGAACTAAATGAAAGAGACTACACGATTATTAGGACTACGTGGAAAAGTAGCTCGGGTGTGCTTCCCCAATTGACATGACTCACAATCTAACTTAGACAATTTGGACAAGCTAGGTACCATCTTTTGAAGTTTGGATAAACTAGGGTGTCCCAATCGTTTGTGGATTAAATCTGGAGAGACTAAGATTGAACAAACTATAGTGGATTTGTGAGAATTGAGATAATAAAGTCCATCTGACTCATGCCCTTCGTCAATCATCCTT